GGCATCGCCAACAACTATTTTGGTGATTTTTATTTCAACCGGTCAACTGTTCCGCAAGGCGGACTTTTTTCTTCAGCGCAGCTAAAGACTAAACTTGGTTTTGGCTTCGTAGATATGTTTTACATCCATCAAAATTATAAGACGAGCGGCCCAAGACCTGATTGGCTTGACTGTGGCGGCCTGCGAAGGAAGGTATTTCATAAGTGTAAAAACAAGAATGCTGTACTTGTTCAGGCATACTACCAATCTGAGATTACTTCAGATGCCAAGCTAGCATATGTTACACCGGCAGATATGACCTACCAAGTGGATAATAGAAACAGCCTTTTATTTTATTTAGTTCCAGGCCATGAATACATTATTGTTTATAGAAACTCGGACAATGAAATTTTAGCAAAGGAAACAATAAGACTTTAGTCCTTGTCTTTCCCCCACGACATACAACCCAATATCATGGACTGCGGCGCTACCTCAGCGCCCGCTTGAGGATTATGAAGAAACATGCCCTATAATAAAAAGTCCAAAATAATGATTTCAATATATTGATAATGCATTATGATATGGATTTCTTTTTCACCAATAACCGATAAGGTCAATTTTCTCAAGACATAAATTAATGCTTTTCACATTTACCACACCGTAGACATAACAGCTTTGATTTTGGGCAACAAAGTCATCATAAACACAACAATATCAAATCTTTAACGTTAATAAAATATAAAATGACTGAAATGCTTAACAAGTGGCATAAAAATTGCTCAACATTTATTAGTGCTTGATAGCCTTAGCCAATCTCCATTCTATGTTCTGTTGCAATCGTATTCTAATGTTGAGCGATGTTCATAATCAACTTAGCGGTGGATTCCGAAAAACCGTTCAAGAGTAGGAGCAAAAAAATACATATGAAAATAGAATCCTTATTGCTTAAAAAATTTGAACAAAATGTACTTAAAAGCAATCAGTTAAAAGAGGTTATCGGAGGAGAACAAAAATGCACTGGCGGCGGGTTTAATATTTATGGCGCACAAGCAGATGCTGGTGGTATGCAATACATCTATGAAACATGGGATTCTGACACAACAGACTCGGATCCAACAAGACCAGGCACTACCTATAATTATAAAGACAATGTTTTAGGTGATTGCTTTCAAGATGACATTGTGAGAAATACTCCATAATAGTTCAGTGCAGGTTGAATCTTCAACCTGCCAATTTTTTCACAATGAGAAAAGCAACCTTTATAATATTCATAATGCTTTATTCAGGACATCTGTATGCCCAACAGGTGGATAAGTATTACCATCATATTTATCAGGCTGAAAGTTTAATTCTTGCAGGTAGATACAACGCCGCAGCAAATGAATATGACAGCGCATCAAAATATAAAAAAAACCCATTTTCATCAGACCTATACAATAATATAATATGCAACATAAGGTCTGGTACTATTAATTTACACACATATGAACTCTGTCAAGCATTAATAATAAAAGGGGCAGATACCACTTTTTTTAAAAAATCAATATTTCAAAAACTAAAAAAAACAAAATATTGGGATAAGATAAAAAATAGTTATTCAGACATTATAAAATCCAGGCAGATCAATAGCAAGCTGATTTCCATTATAGACACGCTACTTTATGCGGATCAATTAATTCACTGTCAATTGCAATTTAATAGCAAAGACATTGATTTTATAGAGAAAATGCATAAAAATGATGAAGACAATAGTAAATCTTTACTAGAGCTAATGAAAAATAACGATTCTTTATCTGAGGATGTAATAGGCGGAAATTTCCAGGATACCAACATTTTCATCCAACCAAAATACGGCCCACTGATATTACATGAATTTCAACGCCAAGGTGAAATTTTAAGGCAAATTATTAAAGAAGCGATAATAGCAGGAAAAATCAGGGCAGATGTAGGTTTAAGCTGGCTGGAATATGATGGTTCCAGTCATCTAATCTATTTAAACGACTATCAAATGTACAAAGGGAACATATATAGAAGAGATATTGATACTACCTCCTTGCGGTTAATAAGTAGGTTCGTAACAAGACTGCTATACATAACGGGGCAAGATACAAATGGGGCAAGCCTTAAGAATCTATTTTACGTCGATACGAGAAAAAACGTTGAAAATAAGATGATGTACAATTACGGAAATTATCGCGCTGACTTTATCTTTTGGACACCTATAAAAGAAATAACTATTCCCCAAAATCAATATGAAAATTTTAAAAGGAATAAAGTATTAATCGATGGAGATATTGGTTATAAGTAAAGAAATGGATATTGCAGTCGACAAAGTTATTAATTGGTTGTTTTACCATTATCGCAAAAAGGTATTTAAGATAACCATTAAGAGCAATATAGGATTTAGCGATATAAATACCTCGCAATTGGAAAAATCATGCATAGAAAATGCTTATGGGAATCAAATTATATATAATAGGATTGCCGCTATATGGATTCATGGGTGTAATGAGATAGCTGTAAAAAGCAGTTATAATCTCCGTTCCGATATTAATGATGCAATATCAGGAAATCTATCAAAAGACTATAATTCTGTTCTTATTTCCCTTTTAAAAGCCAAGATTCGGCAGCTTTTCGAAAGAGGGAATTCAGTGCTAGGTGAGTTTCACTTTGATAATAATATCAAACTTTATAATCTCATTATTGCTAAAGAACTTGGATTTACAATACCAGAAACCTACATAGTAACAAATACAGAGCAAATAAAATCTCTCTTTGCTACTGGATTACAATACATAACAAAATCAATGGATAACACCTCACTAATTTATACAAAAAGTATTTTGTGTTCAGGTGCAAAAACAAAGATTATTAATAGCAGCAACATATCACATTTAAACGACACATTCCACGTCTCACTAGTTCAAGCGAAAATTGAAAAAAAGTATGAATTAAGGATATTTTTTTACTGTGAGTCATTTTTCTCCATGGCAATATTTTCGCAAAATGATCCGAAAACACAACTTGATTTTCGAAATTATAATAGAGAAAAACCAAATAGATATGTCCCTCATATATTACCAGATGAAATAAAAATCAATTTAATCAAACTTATCAATGAGCTGCAAATAACAACTGGCTCTATTGATTTA